CCTCCCTTCCTTCCTTCCTTCCTTCCTTCCTTCCTTCCTTCCTTCCTTCCTGCCTTCCTGCCTTCCTGCCTTCCTGCCTTCCTGCCTTCCTGCCTTCCTGCCTTCCTGCCTTCCTGCCTTCCTGCCTTCCTGCCTTTCTGCCTTTCTTTCTTCCTTCCTTCCTTCCTTCCTTCCTTCCTTCCTTCCTTCCTTCCTTCCTTCCTTCCTTCCTCCCTCCCTCCCTCCCTCCCTCCCTCCCTCCCTTCCTGCCTTCCTGCCTTTCTGTCTTCCTTCCTTCCTCTTCTCTTCCTCTTTTCTTCCTCTCTCCATCCTTCCCCCTTTTCTTACCTGACATTGGATCTCCCATGCAGCCCGCACTCCTCGTGAACCCCCACCCTTCCTGCCTCAGCCTCTCAAATCTGGGATCTCAGGTGAGCACCACTACCCTGACTCTTATAGAGAATCACCTTTACAATTTATTACTTTTCTCTACAGTTGGCCTCTTTTTATTTTTAATTTTTCAGCTTTTACTTTTATTATTCCTTATTTAAACTAACTTCAAGATTACTGTGATGGTCTTTTACTATCACTCTTAAGTGGGAATACAGGTCATTGGCTGCCTCACCAGAGACTTAGAGTTCAGTCTCTGGGCCTTGTAAATGCCTTATGCAACTACACTTTCCCCAAAAGTTTGGAGCCTATGCTGTCTAGTTTTTATGTCAGTTTGACACAAGCTAGTCCTTTCAGAAGAGGGAAGCTTAGTTGAAAAAATGCCTTTATAGTATTGGCCCATAGGCAAGTCTGTGGGTCCTTTTCTTGATTGATAATTGTCGTGGGAGAGCCCAGCTCACAGTGGGCAGTGCCTCCCCTGGGCCAGGTGGTCCTGGATGGCATTAGACAACAGGGCGAGCAAGCCATAGCAAGGAAGACAATAAGCAGTGTTCTTTTGTGGCTTCTGCTTAAGTTCTTGCTTCCAGGTTCCTGTCCTGCTCAAGTTCCTGCCCTGACTTCCCTCAGTGATGGACGGTTACCTGGAAGTATACAATGAAATAAACCCTTTCTTCCCCAAGTTACTTTTGGTCATGATGTTTTTATCACAGCAATAAAAATCATAACTAAGATAGGTCCCATTTCCTGTACTCCTGGAACAGGCCAACGCTAGTTGACCATGTAGTCTTTGCTAGTGGTTGGAGACTTATTTTTAGGGAGAAACTAATGATGCCCTTGGCAGGCACACTGTGAGCACACACACACATCCTGGCAACACACACCCCTATGAACACACATCCTGAAACACACATCATGAGCATATATACCTTGGGTACTTACATCTTAGGTACATTCACCCTGAGCATATGTATATCTTAGTACATATATCACAGGCATACATGCATCCTAGGGGCACGTATGCCTGCACATATATGCAAACACACACATACTTCTCAGATGTAAGCATCCTGTGTACATATATCTCAGGCACACATGCTTCCTGGGAAGACTTCCTCTACCCTGTATTATGCATCCTGGGGACACATATGCCAAGCACATACACACATATCCCAGATACACATACCCTGGGCATATGTACATTCCAAACACACTTGTATTCTTGGCATAACCCCACCCCCACCCCGAGCACATGCCCTTGAATATGTTCACATCCTGGGCACATACATCCCAGACATGTGAATCCTGGACACACTTTTACTCAATCCATCTTGCAACATTGGGTCCTGTTTGGGGAGATAGGATGAGGATGGCCTGTAGGTATCAACTACAGGTACAGTGAATAGCTTCAGATCCCTGTCTGCCCCATGCTCAGGATCCAAATAGGCAGCAACATGCTCTTCCAAAGCCCAGGTTCTATCCAGTCACCAGGATAGAGTGAGCATTTGAGCCATGCAGCACTAAACCATGTAGAAGTTCAAGTATCCACGAGGGAGGGGACAGGAAGCTGTAGTTGCCTGAGTCATGCTCTTCAAACACGCAGCACTCCACCAGCCTGTTCCCTTCTTCTCATCAGGGTGACAAGTGCCAACTCTCAGTGGTGGCCCATCTCACTATACCTAGTATGCATCCCATGAACCCTGCTGTACCCTCCTTGGTCCTCCAGAATCTCCAGACCTTGTTGCTGGCCTACTGAGCCTCCACTGTGTCCTGAAACCCAGACCCTTGCCCTCCAATAACCTCTGCCTTGGTTAGACCCCTCTTTCCAAGAGCCCTCTAATGCCCCAGGTCTGCAGAGTTGGAAAGCAGAGTTAGTGGTTCTATGTGCTCCTCAGTGTAGCCTGTGGGCCTCCCGGCCCCCCGACCATGATGAGGAATAAAAGATGATACTGAAGTCATCAGTCCCATAGCTCAAGCCCTGGCTTCTGTACATGCAACACCAGACAGAGCAGCCTCATTAGATTGTAGCAGGAATCTTAGAAGGTCTTATTAACAAAATCAAACCTGAGGCCAATTATTGGGGTGAATACTGGAAGATCAGAGAGACAGAACAAGCCACAGCTAACCTCACCTGGCCAATTTCTCAGCTGATCTTGTTTCCTCAGACTGGAAGCCTCTGTGTCCTCATATCTGAATGGCTCTCGGCTGAACTGCTGCTCAAAAGCCTGAAAGCTTAACCAGGCAAATGCTTAACCAGCCAAATGCTTCTAGTTTGGTCTTCACGCCTTATACACCTTTCTGCTTTCTGCCTCACTCCCTGGGATTAAAGGCTCACTTTCTGGGATTAAAGGCATATGTCACCATGCTTGGCTGTATCCTTGAACACATGGATTTCTGCCTCTGGAATGCTAGGATTAAAGGCGTGTGCTACCATTGCCTATCCTCTATGTTTAATATTGTGGCTGTTCTGTCTCTGACCCCAGATAAGTTTATTAGGGTGTACAATATTTCGGGGAACACAACACCATCTCACTAGATGTCCTCAGCGTGGGTGGAGAACAGGCAACAATCCAGCAATTTCTAATGTCTCCCAAGAGAACTTTTTTAAAAAACTATTTTTAATTTAACTTTATTTTATGTGCATTGTTGTATTGCCATGGGTGTCAGGTCCCCTGGAACTGGAGTTACAGACAGTTGTGAGCTGCCAGGTGCATGCTGGGAATTGAACCCAGGTCCTCTGGAAGAGCAGCCAGTGCTCTTAACCACTGTCTCCAGCCTCTCCCAAATGTACTTTTATAAGAGTTTTCAAAGCCCAGAATCTAGACAGCTCTGAGTCTTAAACATGAGGATAGAGCCTCTCTGTTTCTTTAGTGGAGCATGGCAGCTGCCAGTCTGATCTTGGCTGAGCATTTCTGAGATGTCAGGTAACCTGTGGCCTGTCAGGTTGACAAGTGTTGGCACAACACACTGTCATTGGGGTGTGGCACCTGTGAGGACAAAGGTCTCTGCACACGCCACTGAACTAGCCCACCTATGCCCTGTAAAGGGGGCTTTCCTTCTCACTCCCTACCTTCATATGGTTTCCTTTGTCTTGTATCTCTCCATCAGTTCTGTGGAATAATGTGTGTGAGACCTATGGCTGTCTTAACAGGGCTACTCAAGGTGTCTTAGGTGAGAAATGATGTTTCTCTCTTAGTTCTGGGGTAGCAATCTAAGATGAGAGTGACCGAGGCCACAGTCTCCTGAAAGGCACTGGAGAGTACCACGTCACCTGGTTCTTGGCCTGGGGATGCATTCTTCTCCCTGTGTTTATCCATCTTCTGTCCTGGTAATTCAGTGTGTTGTGTTTCCCATGAAGATGTTATTTAGTAGTAGTAGTAGTAGTAGTAGTAGTAGTAGTAGTAGTAGTAGTAGTAGTAGTAGTAGTGTGTGTATGTTTGTGTGCGATTGCACTGTAGCACATGTGTGGAGTTCAGAGGACAATTTTCAGCAGCTGGTTCTCTCCCTCTACCGCAGGATCCAGGTTGTAATGCTTATACAGAAAGCTCTTTCAGCTACTTTACCATTTTGTCAGTCTACAGTTCCCATTTTAAAAGGTCTGTGATCATAGTGGATCAGATTGTTCCCATTGGCCTAATTTATCTGGTTTGTGATGACCCTATTTTGAAAGTGAGGTCTGCCAATTTTGGTGTCAGGACATGGATATGTTTAGGAGATATGTACTGCCTCATAATCCCTGTTTTCCTTCTTACTTTTATTCCTAACTTGGCCCTATTTGGCCCTGCATCTTGTCCGGTGGTTCTGTGTTTACTGCAGTGGGCCTGAGCTTGTCTTGCTCTCTGCCTCATTCCTCCTGCACACCCAAATGCCTGACCTCCATTTCCTCCCAGAGCCCTGCTACACCCACTCCATAGCTCAGCCCCCAGTCAATGTCCAGAGATGTGCAGCTCCAGCAGCTTTCCTGGCTTTTCAGGTCAGGCTATTATCACTGGAATCCTTTCATTCACTTGTCCCCAGCCTGGCTACACTGGCATTATGTTCAAACCAGCAGCACTAAGTGCTAGTTAATAGCCACTAGAGGGCACCAGCATCACTTGGCACCTGCTAGGCACCATGAGGGGCTGGGAAGTGAGGGTCTGGGTTAGGAGAAGATCAAGGGCTTTCTGTGGAGGCGACCTGAGGGAGCTAGAGACAAAGAAAAGCCCGAAGATCCCTCTCATGGTACAGAAGAGAAAAGGCCCACCAGTCTGGTGGCCCATGAGGGTCCTTTCGCCAGTGGGAATCCCACCTTGCTGACAAGGGAATAAATACACAGTTTAGACAACAGGGCCCACTGTGCAGTATCAAAATTTAACATAGAAGTCTCTTTTAGAGTCCTGAATTTGGAACAATGTGAATTAGAAGAGGGGACATCAAGCAGGGTGTCTTAGCTGCTGCTGTCGATCAGCCACGGAATTTGCCCTGGAGGAATCATGAGCCCAGACAGTACCAGAATGTTGGCTTCTCCTGGGCCTCCCCTCTTCCTGCGGAAACAGGACAAGGGAGAGGTCACTAGTTCGAGGAGACTGAGGAGGGTGGTGTCCTGAGCTGGCGCCCTTCCCTTGTTTGTTTACTAAACACAGATTGTTGCTAGGGAATGTTCCAGCCAGCTGTGGTTCTCATAGGCTCCCACATGGAAACTTCCAGAGGGAGTTGGAGGGAGGCCTCCATAGAGGATGCCTCACCCTGCTTCTTTCACATTAACTATCCACTGAGACAGGCTTATGTGAGGGCAGGGGCAGACCCTGAAGTTTTTCTCCTGGGCTCCCTCTTGGGATTGTCACCTTGGCATGTGGTAGGGAGTGGCCAGCCAGTTCATTTGGGACAAAATATAGTATAGTAAGGTCACCAGCAAGATTCTTTTGAGTGACAGGGTTATCCTTGAACGGTTCAAAATTTACTGGCAAAGTGTTGCTGAACAAGCTTTGCACAGGAAAATGTGATTAAAAAGATGTGCTGCAACTGTCTGTCACAGGAGAATTCCATTCCTAGAGGGACAAGTGACGGTTATGTCTGAGGTCTGAGTCCCCGTGGGACCAGAGTCTTTGTGTGCCATATTGGTGCTTTTAGGGTGGCCTCCTGGTACTCCACATGAAGGCTGGGTACTGGCTGTCCTTTAGTGTCTGTGTGGCAGGTCCAGATTCAAGGGAACCTGGCTCAGTTGCACCCTGAGAACTACTTTGCTACCATAGCCTCCTTATGGTCGGCCTGTGTCCCAGGAGTCTCCAAGAGTGGGACTTACCTGTGTGAGCCAAGAATGGATACTGGTGGTTTAGAGAATATGTGAGGGTATCACAAGGTGTGGTCACAGAGGGCCTGGGCAGTTTTCCTCTCAGCCTCACCTCATTTGTTCCTCAAAAGTTCTCTTGGGCTTCCTGCTGCCTACTGGTTTCCTTGAGAGCAGGTCTACTCTAGTGTTACAGGGAAAGAATACTTGGTCACATAAGGCATTTCAAGGCCTGTGCACACCGTGGCCAGCGGTTGGCTGGCTTGGCTAGGTTTCTGAAGTGACTGTCACTGTGGGATCTGCTCTTGGGTGCTACAGACGTCCCTGACACTCTCTGTCCCCCGGGAGACACCTCGCATCATGCCAGCCAGGCCCAGGGCTGTGTGTTCCTTGACAGTCCAGGTGATGGGTGTGTTGTCCGTGTTCCACCTCGTCGTGCACTTGATTGCAACTACCATCGATCCCGCTGACACCAGTGTCCGACTCAAAAAGGACTACTCGGAGCCTGTGCCGACTTTCGACCGGTCCAAACACGCACATGTGATCCAGAACCAGTACTGCCACCTGTGTGAGGTTACTGTGTGAGTGGGGTATCTGCTGAGCAGTGGGGCAGGGCTGCTTTTAGGAGTTTGGGTGTAGAGTACTGCTGACCCATAGCCCCAAGTCGACCAGCTGATCCTGCTGGTATTGAGTACTGGCCCTTTGTGGCACTCCACGGAGGGCTTGGTCATGTGTTCACAGCCTTCCAGGAGACCACAGTGTACTGCCCTACCCTACAGACTGACAGTTCTGCCTTCTGGTTTCCAAACCCCTCTCCCTGGGGATGAAGACTGCATGGGAGATCCAGTGTGTCATTCTCAGGTCCTCTTATACACACAGGCCCTTCTTTGTAGTAGTGGTTGGTGGGCAAGTGTGCCACTTCCATGTGGTTTTTCTGATAAGCCTCACATCCCCAACTGGGAAGGAGGGAGGGCAGTTTCAGCCGATACCTGGTGGATATCAGGACCTGAGGAGGGCAGCACACTGACTTGGCTATAGGAAGGCACTGTAGGTACTGGGTGAGATACAAGCCTTCAACTCCTAGATTCTCAGGCTCCCATCTAGCAAACAAGCCTACCTACAGGGAAGTCCACAGTCTGCCTTACAAAAACAATGCCCATGGGCTCAGGCTCATCTCTCTCCCAAGATGGCCTTGTCTTTCCTACAGACTTCCAGTGCCCTATTGCCTTCAGATGGAGGCCCCACCCTCCATTTCATGGTAGACATTCAGTTCCCTTGGTGCATTTGGGGCCAGCAGTCTGTTTCTCCCAATTTCTCTCCCAGGAGCAAGAAAGCCAAACATTGCAGCTCCTGCAACAAATGTGTCTCTGGCTTTGACCACCACTGCAAATGGCTGAACAACTGCGTGGGCAGCAGAAACTACCGGTAAGGCACTCTCAGGGTCAAGGCTGTGACCTGAGGGAGGGATGTGTGGCCTGGGATTCATAGGAATAGGTGGCAGGTGACAGAGGGGAGGGGGCCGTCAAGGCTGGGAACAGCACAGGAAAAGGGTGACCTTTGGGCCATGTCTCTGCTATGGCAGAGCTTAGTGCCCATGTGCTACTGGTTCTGATGTGTTGGTGGGGTTGTTCCTGAACATGTGGAGCAAGCTCACATTCACAAAGTCCATCATTATTGACAGTTGGTCACAGCCTGGCTGAGCCTTCTAAACTTCCTGCTTCAGGCCTATCTACCTTCTCAATGCAATGGCCACCAACCCAAGAGCAGTGGCAAGACTATTGAGCATAGGAATGAAAATTTAGGCCACCCTCAAACATTGCCCTGGTCATGAGTGCAGAATCCAAAGAGCTATTGGGCACCAGGTCAGGGTGTAGGACAGTAGTGCTCAAACTTCCTACTGCTGCAACTCCCTAATACAGTTCTTCATGTGTGGTGACCCCCAACCATAAAATAATTTTCATTGCTACTTCATAACTGTGATTTTGTTACTGTTATGAATCATAATGTAAATATTTTTTGAGATACAGGTTTGCCAAAGGGGTCTCTACCCACAGGTTGAGAACCACTGGCCTAGGCTGTCCATCAACCTTGGGAATCCTGAAGATGAACAGGGTATAGTAGCGCCTTACCCCCAACCCCATGCCTTGCTCTGCCCTGACAATACATTGGGCTGTGGGGTCTCTGCCATCCATCCAGTGAAGTGCCTGGGGCCACAGATTTAGGTTTTGCTCCTTCCTGATTGAGCTTTTGAGCTTGAAAAAAAATGCAGCCACTGTTACCAGGCATTCCAAAGTGGTCTGTTAGTGGTGTGTCACCATGGTTCTGGCAGTGACTGGGTTAGCCAGGAGACCCTTGACCACAGTCCCTTTGAGTGTCTCACACTGGCTTACAGAGAATCAGGAGGTTCTTCAACTAACCAAGCATTTCCGGGAAGGCAAATTGGAATAGGTAAGGGTGTGGCCTGCCCATGAGTCAGGGGAGAGGACAGAAAAAAGGCACACTTAATGTGCATGGCGTTGAGAGATAGCCTCTGTGTGGTGAAATTGGGGTTGGGGAAGAGCAGAGGGTGATAGGTGCCACCCATTCTCACTAGAGAGCCTGAGCCTTAACATCCTCATGTTCTGTCCCCTCATTCTCCAGGGTCTAAGAAAGCATGAGAGGGGGCAATGGAATTAAAAAACATTTTAAAATTTATTTTTATTCCATGTATATGGATGTTTTTGCTTGCATGTATGTCTGGGCTCTTCTTGGCCTTGGAGGCCAAAAGAGGGCATCATATCCCCTGGAACTAGAGTTACAGACAGGAACCATATGGGTGCTCGGAATTGAACTCTGGTCCTCTGGAAGAGCAGTCAGTGTTCTTAAGCACTGAATTATCTCTCTAGTCCTGCAATAGCATTTGGCACCAGGGTTGAACAGAAGCCCTGAAAGGGAGTTCCATGTCTCATAGTCCTAATAAACAGGAAGCCAAATGGTCTTTCAGAGTGGGGTGCAATAAAGGCTATGGGAGGTCAGTCCAGTGCATGGGGAGGTAGTGATGGAAGAATAGTGGGGGGGGGGAGGAAGAGGAGGAGGAGGAGGAAAAGAGGAACTAAGAAAGACTGTGATTCCTGAATGGCCACGATTAGAGCGTGCTTGGTGGAAGAGGTTCTGTCTGCCTAGGTGATAGTCTGCCATCTTGGGGATTAACCTTTCCCATCGGATGGGAATGATATTCTTGTCCAGACTGCAGGATGGAAGGATATGAGGGCTCAGGCAGAAGGCTGTAGGGAATGTGGAGCACAATCAATACAATCAGGAGCCAGCATCTGCCTAGGGTATGTGAAAGACAGTAGAAAGAGCACATGAGGGAAGAGTAGAGAAGACACCCATGGAAGAGTTCTGTGCTTCTATGAGGTGGACAACACCAGACCTGTATGTTGACCTCATATGCTTGGCTAGGTGTTAGTCTGTCCTGACCTCTTGCTCGCTCGCTTGTCTCTGAGCAGAATCTCACTCCTCTCACGCAGGTTCTTCTTCTGCTCTGTGGCCTCAGCTGTAGTTGCCCTGCTTGGCGTGATGGTTATCTTGTTGTACATCTTCATCCAGTACTTTGTCAACCCCAATGAGCTTCGCACAGACCCCCGGTATAAAGGTACCCTTCTGACGCTTAGGGACTGCTTCTACCTGGTTCCCATGTGCCAAGGGTTAGGCTTCCCAGTCTCACCCTCCATGTTCCCTCACTCTCCAGTTGACCTGAGCCCCTCTGAGACCTAACATCCAGGGATTAGAGTGAGGTATACTCTAACCCTTCTGTCCTTTCAGTCAGTCTTGAGCACCTAGACAGTGAACCTTCAGCAGTGCTGGGTGGAGAAGGCAGGAGCTTATCTTGTAGGACACAACTACTTGTAGAGATGAACAGCAGAAAGTGGAGCTATTACGTTGAGCCACAGACTCTGAGGTGAAGCTCAGAGATTATATGAATAAATAGGCCCAGAAGCACAAGTCCATGGCACAATTGTCTGAAATAAGAGAGGAAGGGGGTGGGCTGAACATGGCCTCCAAAGTGTCTGAGTCCTGAACCAGACCCAAGGTAGCACATTATTTGGAAAAAGGATCTTTGTGGATATGATTAGGAATTCTGAGGTGAGGAACCTGTCCTAGGTCCCTCATGTGCCCAAATCCAATGCCAGTGTCCTCTGGAGAAACAAGAGGAAATGCTGACTTGCAAAGGACCTATGGAGGTAGGAGGCAGAGGCTGGGCCATATGACCACAAGCCCGAGAGGGCCTGTGGCACTCAGAGCAGGAAGAGGCTAAAAGGGTTGTCTCCTGGAGCCTCAGAGAGAGGATACTCTGATTTTAGGCCTGTGGTTGATAGATATGAGAGAATTACTATACTGTGTAAGTGCCACCAGCTTATGGCCATTTTTCACAACAGCCCTAAGATACTGACAGGTGACTAAAGTGGGATATTCCTTTGCTGGTTATCCTATGGCCAGGGGGAAGCCACCCATCTCTGCTCTAAGCATTACAGGCATTTGCCCAAGTCCTGCAACAAGAGATGTTAGGACCTGTATGCCGCTTATCCTAGGGCATCCCTGGAGCCAACATGACAGGATGTTCTTTTAAGAAAGGGCTCTATGAGTTCCACATGGAAGCACCTCGCTGCTGCATCCCCTGTGACCATTTAGAAGTTCCTGGTGCTCCTGAGCACTCTTGAGAAGCCACCACTATGTTCATTAGTAACATTTGCTTTCCTAAAGACTGTCCATGCTGAGCAAGCAGAGACAAGGACAAGGAAGAAAAGAGGGATATTCAGAGTGGTGGTGACCTGGCTGGGGCTATTGACCATGGCATCAGATGTGGTGCAGGGAAGTGGATCATGTCTCTCCTTGGAGCAGACTTGTGGTTCTGAGCAATGGGTGGAGGTCCCTTCCTGGCTTGCCATTCCAGGACCCTACAGAGTCCATGGCCCAAGTTCAGAATCTCATGGGCTGGAGTTTATTTACACCATCACATTTTGAGTTGGCATCCCATGGCCCAGCCCACAAGGCAGCATGCAGTATTCCCTTTTCAGATAGCATACCTAGGAGTCCATTCTAGAAAGAGCTAAGCACCTTTCTGGAATGTGATATGGATCAAGGTGCTTGGGTTTGGAGTCTAGTCCTCTACTGTTCTGTCACACAGCCTAGGAAGCCCCTGCGGTCTTCATTTTGAGGGCCATGGTGGACAGTGCTCAAGAAATGCACCAAGAGGGATCAGTTTTCATTGATGTCTGTGAGGTGATTGATCTGAAATACAAGGCCAAGGCTTTGGGGAAGGGCAGGAGAGGGAATGGCCAGTGGGCCCATGGGACCCATGGTAGAGCAAGGCAAATACAGGGCAACAGTGCATCCGTTGGCTGGCTGTCCTCACTCACCCTAGCAACCTCTGTCGCTCTGCTTACCTGACTACAGGTGCTGCAGTCAGGGTAGATGCTAGATGGACATGTCTCTTTGTCTTCACAGAGGTCAGCTCTGAGAACATATGGCTGCTGTTCCTCCCACTGTGGCCTGTGCCTGTGAAGATCCCCCTGGTCCTTTTCATCGCAGTGGTGGTACTGCTGCTAGCCATTGCCAGCTTTGTGCTGCTCGGGCACCTGCTCCTCTTCCACGTCTACCTGAGTATGTACCCACTCTAGACTTGCCACTGTAGCTCACTTGTTTTGAGGCAGACAGTGCCTTGGGAAGCCTTGCCAGACATGAGTTCATAGACAAAGGACAGACTACAGGAAGGAGATACTAAGAGAAGGTCAGCAAGTCCAGCAAGGAACTGAGCTCATGTTCAAAAGCCTGCAGAAAGCACAGGAGAGACTAAAATATACAGAGACAAAGGAATATGACTATTATGCAAGAATAGGCCATTAGGACCAGGAGGATTTAGGAGAGTACCAAGTAGAAATTATAACAATGAAACTTAAGCTCAAGGGACTGGTTTTTCTCATCCAAATAGAGCCAAAAAGGAGGCTCTATATCCACAAATATGTGTCGGACACCTGGTTACGCTATTAAGATCCTCTGCCTAAGAAAGTGTTTCTGTTGAGTTAGAGCCACCTCCTCCCCTGTGCGTATTGTTTCTGCTGTGGGAACTGGCCATGAAGCCTCTCTGGTCTCTGGCAGTGGTAGGCCAGGCTGGAGGGCACCAGGGCCACTCTTGAAATACTGGTTTCCTGCAGGTTGACTTACCCAAACCTCAAGGATGGTACAGACTCTGCCTTTGGCTGTGAGGACAGTGCCTGGCAGAGTGCTGACCTCCTCCCATGGGAAGACCTCACGCATGTCCAGTGGTTCTTACCAGCAGCATCACCCTGAACCTACAGAGCATGCTTCTTTCTTTTTTTTTTTTATTTTACAATACCATTCAGTTCTACATATCAGCCACAGGTTCCCCTATTCTCCCCCCTCCCACCCCCTCCCCTTACCCCCAGCACACCTCCCATTCCCACCTCCTCCAGGGTAAATCCTCCCCCGAGGACTGCGATCAACCTGGTAGACTCAGTCCAGGCAGGTCCAGTCCCTTCCTCCCAGACTGAGCCAAGTGTCCCTGCATAAGCTCCAGGTTTCAAACAGCCAACTCATGCAATGAGCACAGGACTTGGTCCCACTGCCTAGTTGCCTCCCAAACAGATCAAGTCAATCAACTGTGTCACCTATTCAGAGGGCCTGATCCAGCTGGGGGCCCCTCAGCCTTTGGTTCATAGTTCATGTGTTTCCATTAATTTGGCTATTTTTTTCAATAATTGAGTAAAACCGAAATTTATTATAAGCCACAGTCATCCTAGGGACCTCCATGCTATATATATATAGCCTCCATGGTTCTATGGGTTGTGGTCTGATTGTTCTTTATTTTATATCTAGAATCCACTTATGAGTGAGTACATACCATGACTGTCTTTCTGGGTTTGGGTTACCTCACTCAGGATGATTTTTTCTAGTTCCATCCATTTGCCTGCAAATTTCATGCTTTCATTGTTTTTCTCTGCTGAGTAGTAGTACTCCATTGTGTATATGTACCACATTTTTTTTCATCCATTCTTCCGTTGACGGGCATCTAGGTTGTTTCCAGGTTCTGGCTATTACAAATAGTGCTGCTATGAACAAAAATATGGAATGCTTCATGAATTTGCGTATCATCCTTGTGCAGGGGCCATGCTAATCTCTGTATCGTTCCAATTTTAGTATATGTGCTGCTGAAGCGAGCACCAGAGCATGCTTCTTAATCTGCGAGTGTGTTTATTAGCACACATTCCCGACTTCAGCATTGTAATAACTTGAAACTTAGACTCTTCTTCTCCTCTTCTTTCCCTTCCCCCCTTTTTCCTTCCTCCTCCTCCTAATATAGTGAAAACCCCTGAACTAAATCTTGTTGGTGCAATTTATGCTTTAGGGTTTTTGTTAGGAACGACCTGATCCATTTCTATTTACTTGTGTTTAGATGTATTTGTAGAGTGGGGTAGAATCAAATCTCAAACCTACATCAACTGAACCTATATGTTTCAACAGAACACCATGTGCTATTTTATCAGTAACAAGGCTGGGAGGGCACCTCATATTCCCTGTGACTTAAACCCTCAGAATGGTGCATCTTTTGGGTTACCTTTAAAACTCTCCACTGCTTTTATAAATAGGAATTTATAAAAACAAAACATTTACTCTCTAAGCTTATCTGTAATGTTTTCTCATGTCTAAATGCTTTCAGATTTATCAGTAATGCCACCTTTCCTAGCAGCTGACCTCAGGTAGAACTCATTTTCCTCTTTATTTGGTTGTTCCCTTCTCTCAGAGTTAGGTCCAGCAGCTGGTGTCACGTCCTATAGGCCTGAAGATTACTGGGGCCCATCCTGCCCAGGAACACAAATTCAGTGTTAGTCATTTTTCCTCCACCTCATAGTAAGGACTTTGTGCCTACCATGTGAGGCACAATGGTGCCTACCAATGTGGGGGGCAATTCTGCATCTGTGGATGAGGTTTGAAGGCATCCACATTCTGGTAGCGAGGGGGACAATGGCATTGAGGCCCATGGTGTGAGCAGAACTTTGCTGAGACATCCTTTGTGGACATCAGACTGCAGTGAACTTGCAGTGAGGTCTGATGTGCTGAGTCCAGGGTAGTGAGCACAACAGGCTTCTTTCCACAGAAGACCCCTAAGAGGGATTGTATCCCCTGGAATATGCCAGGCACCATGAACTGCTTTGTCCCACCTCTGCCATGTATGAGACGCTCAGCAGCAAGGACCCAGGAGCTATCAGCTGTCCCTGTCTGTACTCTTTTATATAGCAACTCTTTGAGACTAGGTTCTGGGACTGCACAGTCTAGACCACACATGAAGCTACCAAAGCTGAAGCTTCAGAGCTTAAAACCTGCACCTCTTCCTCCTTCATTCCAGAACCCCCAGGAGGCCAGACAGTCTGGGTGCGTTCCCTGTTGCTCATTTAGGCTAAAAAACAGCCTAAGGACATGCTGACAGCCATCCCGAGTCTTAATGAATCTCAAAGACTCATTCAGAACTTTTGGGGGCCCTAATATGTCACACAACACTTCACTGGTGTCAGAAGTGTTGTGTCATTGACACTCATAGACCCAAGCCCCGTAGATCCACACGCTTCCTGAGGAGTGCCAGTTCCAAGATTCAGTCAGGATTTTGGCTCCCAGTTCTCTCATCTTCTACCACCATGCCTGCCCTCTCAAACAAGCTTCATAGACAAAGATACATCATAGCAGCTTTTGTCATGACCAGAAAGAGTGAGGAGGCCTCATGTGACCCAAGAAAGGCAGACTTGTGCAGTGATGCCCTGTAACTGTCCATGATATCATTACCTGGCTCTGTGAACGTAGACCTCAGGCTGAAAACTGAAGAAACCAAGGGCTCCATGATGGGAAAACTCCTCCACAGATGGAGAGGAAGGCATGGTGCAGAGAGCCCTGACTGAATCTCTAAGGCCCCAGCACTGGGCCAACTATGCTGAGAGGAAGGCACAGACAGGAACTTCTGCTATGGCATCTCTGACTTGACTACCAGGACAACTTAGACTGCAAGGTGACTTTTCTAACCTGGAATTCCTCCACTTTTTTATTTTGTTTTTTTATTTTGAGACATCCTTGGCTGGCCTGGAACTCACTACGTAGACCAGGCTGGCCTAGAACTCACAGAGACCTGCCGACCTCTGCCTCCAGAATGCTGGAGTTAAAGGTGTGCACCACCACATCTGGCTTCCTCCACTTCTTGACAGCACTTCCAGCTTCAAGGTGTAAGAGACTGGCCACTTACTAGCTTTTGGCCCCAAGATCCTTGATGTTGAAAATGACTTGTTCATAGTACTCAGGGTCAACCAGGCCTCTCAGGAAAGGGTTTTTATGCTGCTATACCAGCAAGGGGAAGGTGGCAGAGGCCAAGAGAATATTGCTCAGCCCTCATGCTCAAGTGCCCTCAGCGATCTGCTTTTCCCTCCCAGAACACTGAATAGGACTTGCTTTCATCTCTCCTCTCCAGAAATGTAACCAAGGTATGTGATGGCCAGGGTAATCCCATTGGTCAGATGCTCTGAGGCCAAAGGCCTGTGAATTGGCTGGAAATGTGTGTGGGGTGGCCACAGATCTAGACTTCTGTTCTTGTAGCTGCTGATATGGGCTGGCTTTTTTGCCCATGGTGAACTGCAGTATGCCTGCACTGTTCCTTATATGATGGGTACGTGATTCATAGAGAGCCAGATTGCCGTACTTCCTGAAGAATGTCATGCTTCCTTTTGTAACCTCTGAGAGAAGGTGGTGCTAAAAGGGGCCTGCTATGGCCATGAGAGCATTTCCAGTTCAGGGCATTCTCTGCGGGCCAGGAACATGCACAGAATCGGTACTGAATTACTCTTCAAAAGTGTCCAAGTGCACTGTGTGTAATACCACATCTGCTGCACCATACCCTGGAGAACAAGTCGGGCAGCCAGCCACTGAGAGCTGCTGCCACCACTGTCACCTATGACACTAAGATGGGCTCAGAGGGCTGAAAGCAGGACAAGGTGGAACTGGTGGCAGCTGGAGCTGGAGTCATATTAAGGATAAGGCTGTTTACAATGAAGGGACTGGAAAGTGTTCCTCTAAGATGGAAGAATTGGAGTGAGACTGAACATGTTGAGTTCAGGGCATTTAGACATCAAATAGTTCCAGGACATGTTGGCTATTGTTATATATTATTAAGACTGCTCCAAACTGTAGCTCTCACTCATCACTGTAGGGCCAGGGTAAACACAGCTAGGCTGGGTGCTCTACTCAGGACATCCACATTGGGTTTCAGTGGTCACAGTGCCACCATAAGATTCTTCTTCTGAACTCCCTGCAAGGTGACTGGCAGATGTAGTTCCTCTAAGTCACTGATCTGCCACCTTGCTCTGATCCTTTCTGGATGGACTACAAAGTGTCTCACAACAGTGACTGGCTTCATGTAAGGAGTAGGGCCGCAGAGTACCCTGGCCATGGACAGGGCTCACTGATAGCTCAGTCTGTAGATCTGGTCTGCACTCAAGGACTGGATCTCAAGGTACGAGCATCCATGTGGATTGCCCTCTATGAGGCACCACTTTGAATATGGGCTGGAGATTCAAGGGCCCCATGCCCAGCAAGTGTGGGAGGCTAAAGTACCTGCAATAGAGGGATGAGGGTGTGTGTGGTCATGTTGGGGGAGGAATAATGTGTTGAAACCAGTAGAGAAAGGACAGGATCCATACACTGCCAGAGCTGGCTGTTGGTTGGTGCCTGGTCACCCTAAAGGACACACAGGGACATTACTCAGTTTTGGATGTGCTCATCAGTTGGCTTGAATGGCATTTCCATAACTCTTGGAAAGAAGGGAGGTTTTAATTAGAATGTTAGCAAGTGCAGGCCCACAGGCTTACTCTGACATGGGTGCTAGCTGATGAGACTGGATTACAGTTGGGTGGGCCTAGGGAGATTCATCACTCCAACAACACAAAGCCAAGTTCTGTAGGAGCTCTGGATTGGGGCAGCCCATCCCATCTGCTTCTTGAGCTACAGATAGGGCTATTGGGTGGTCCCGTAGCTCCTCAGAAATACTTGTAAACTACCTGCTCTCGTGTGTTGATTTTGAAAAGTCAGACCCCTCCCTAGAAGCATAGAGCTGAAAATAGGCACTTACAGCTCTTTTCTCAAAAACACATCTGGTCTTCTTGCAATAACCCAAATTGCTTCTGCTAAGTGTGGTTGCCAAAGTCTCAGCCTGAGCTGGGGTTGCTTGCCATGCCTCACATTTGTTGGTAGCCCTGTGTTCTCTGAGGCAGAGCATCTAGGGTGAGGTGGCTGCATGGGGTGGGGGGGAAGCAGGCATAGGGTGGTAGGCAGCCGGCAAGGTCAGCTCAGGGATTCAGTACTCCTACCAGCAGGACTTCTATTGCCTCTAGGCAGCTACTGCTCTGAAGATGAAGGCTTCTAGAACCCTTAGACAGAGTAGTCTTCCCTGAGCCTGGCCTCTGGGCACCATCCCAGGAGGTTCTGGAGTCATCTGTCATAATGCAGAAAGCAGGGCACCCATGAGAGGTGCCGCAGTCCAGTTCCTCTGGGACACCCACCTCTGAGCTTAATTAGAGGCTTTGCTTTGGGCAACAGGGAACAGTTAGGTCCTGTCACTCATGAAATGTGCAGAGCATAGCTTGTCTGGTCTGAAATACCTGGTCCTCCTGGTCTTGGGACATGCAAGGCAGGGCAGTCACTCCCTGGCAACAATTACTATTTTTAAATACTTTACATTGGATTGGATTGCCATATATTGGATTGTCATATAAAAATGACAGAAGGTAGATTACTAAATCGAAAAAATACTTTTAAAAAGGAACTACTTGACCCAAACCCAGAAAGACAGTCATGGTATGTACTCACTCATAGGTGGATTCTAGATATAAAATAAAGAACAATCAGACCATAACCCATAGAACCATGGAGGCTATATATATAGCATGGAGGTCCCTAGGACGACTGTGGCTTATAATAAATTTCGGTTTTACTCAATTATTGAAAAAAAAATAGCCAAATGAATGGAAACACATGAACT